TTTAGGTTTTTATTTTGGCGTCCACTGCCTAAACAGCGGCCCTCGGCCCTCGGCTCTCGTTTTCTGTTTTATTTTATTTTATTTTTTATTTTTGCCTTCACACCCTTTTGTTAGTTTATCGCACACAAATTCTTTGCTTGCCCACTGCCGTTTGCCTGCCTGCCTGCAGTTTCGCCTCGGCCTGCCCAGCGACGACGACTTCTGATGAATTTCTTACACCCACCCAACAGCAACACCAGCAACAACTTTTGCATTACTCTGCTCTGCTCTGCTCTCCTCGCTCAACCTCTCCTCTCTTCTTCCTGCTGCGTTCGTTCACTTCGTTTTTGCTTTGCTTGGCTGCTGCTGTCTGCGTTACCGCCCCCACACAATTCGGCCCTCTATAATTTGCCCGTTGTTGTTTTTGTTGCTCACATTTTGTTGTTTATGCAGCGTCGTCTCCCCTTCGTTTACTTTAGCACTTTTTGCTGCGCTTTCATCATTTTCAAGCAAGGAGTTGTCAATGCGGCGATCGTTTTTCGGTTACAGACACACACGCACACATACACACATACATAATGTATGTATCTATACAGATTCATACATGTTTGTAGGTGTGCATAAGCTTGATTCTCAGAGAGCCAATGCGCAGTTATAAATAAAGCACTCGCCTCTACTCTCTTTTATGAGCGATGATTTGGAAATTAAGAGTGCCAATAGTTGAGCTTAAGGATTCAGCTATGTTAACATTAAGCTTTCTGTTAGTTTTTGACTCAGTTTAATATTTTATATACATATATTCTCATTTATAACAGGATCTGTATGATAATTTATCAAATTTCTTGCCAATTAGACAATTATCTATCATGCTAGATCTCTTTATGGTGACACACCCCAGTTAAAAAGATAGACCCACACAGCCATATTCAGACACGCAGCCAGCTATCTCTCCCTTTGCTCTGCCAAGTTCAAGTTCCCATGAACAAAGGCGCGACCCCAAAACGCAGCCAGAGCGCAAACTTCACAAACTAAATTACGCACTTCCCGTCGGGGCCCAATGGACGGATGGCGATCTATAGGGGAGGGTGGCTTGCGGAAAGACAACGGGACGATCGACGATCGGTAGATCGGTACCTGCCTGCCAAGAGGGTTGCTTGTTCGCTGGCTGCACCGGCCGAACAATCTCACCAAAAATCACATAGGAATTTCCTGTTACAGCGCCGTCGCCTCCCCCGAGCCGACCCGGCCTGACCATGCTGCAGCTTACCTGCCCGAGAGAGTTTACCTGTTCCACATAGCAGCAGCTGTTTGTTTTGCGGCTTTCAAGGTTTCTACTTTTTACCTGTGGCGTCTTTGAGTCGCGTCCCCTTTGCAGAAGTAGAAGCAGAAGCAGCAGCAGCAGCAGCGACAGCCACAGCAGCCACCCCATTGCGTAGGATTCCATTTCATTTCATTTCATTTGTGGACCATTCGCCGCTTTCAAACTTGGGTTGGGCCAGGGCTCAGTCCCTCTCAGTGTGTTGGGGGAGGGGTTAGAGCTGTTGGCTTGATTATATTTTGGTTTTTGGTTTTCGGTTGGGTTTGCTCGTTTTTTATCGGGCCAGTCACTTTGTTGGCGTGGCCCGAAAACGAGAAACTCGTCTTCAGTCGTCGCCCCCTCCTCAGCTCAGTCGCGCTGCTCTTTGTGCGCTTTGTGATCATCATTATCTGCGTTTCGCTGCCTCATTCTATGGGGCTGTGGCGGTGGCGGTGGCGGTGACTGCGACTGTGACTGGAGTCGGGGCCTCGCACTGCTGCCGGCGCATCGCCATTGCCATCGCCTCCTCCTACTACAATTTGCCTAAAAACCTCAACCGTTTTTCAATATTCAACGTTGGGACGGCCCAAAAAACCAAAAATCAAGAAGAGAAAAAAACACACGAGTCGTCGACGAAGGTTGTTGTGAAATTTCATTATTGGGTCTGTTTCTTTCGGAGGTTGTGTATGAATGTATGTGTGTGTGTGTGACTGCCTGCTGCTTCTGGTATTGTTGTTGTTGTTGTTAATTTTAAGAGGCGTCCAGCGTCAACAACTCAACGTTAAAATTTTGGGTTGGGTTTAGAGCACATGCTCTTATACATACACATGAAAACGGATAGATACATACATATATACAAACACGTATACATAAGTATCTATCCGTTTTGTGTGTATATAATGTATAACTAATCGGAAGAACAACCCTAAGATCCGCTCGAATAATAAAGCCTGTCAATTGTAGTATTCGAGATATTTCGATTGGGCTCAGTTCTAGAATGGAGAGATCACCTTTAAGATGTTATTGATTCAATAGATCCTGGAAGATATAATATAGATATAAACTATGATCATATAGACTTTAATTATTTGATTACTTGATAACCCATATTCATATTCAGTTCA